TCTTCTTTCTTCCTTCTCCCGGTTCATATCAGGCATTGGGTGGAAACTCTGGATGGATTGATCGCTTTCTTGCACAGTTTAGTGCCTTCTTTTACTACTTCGTCACTGTTGCCGTCTACATGCTGTGCCGAAGAATGGCATGTGAGTAAACATATTATTTCTACATGCTGCTCTGAACTCGGATATCTTATGTGCAGACCACCTTTCTGAATGTGTTGAGAGGCATGCATACTCAACTTAAGACAAGTTCCTGAAGCTCGATGGAGGTAAGGCAACTTTAATGGGCTAAGTATTGTTCCTGTTGTGCAAGTTCTGTATCTAGGATTTTATGGAATAACAGCACCCTGCCTATTGAATACAGAGTATTAGCTTATATAGTCAAGTTGGTTACCTCTTGTTTCCATGTTTGAAGTGAACATCCTGCTGTATGATTTATGTGAATACCTACTCATGAGAAGGCATCATTGTGAACAACCTGCTGTGTGATTTATGTGAATACCTACTCATGAGAAGGCATCATTGTGAATACCAGAAGCTACAGTCTCGGTGTTTTTGCACTGCTTTGATCACCACTATGGTCGAGCTCACCGACGGAAAACAAGCGCTTCGTGGGAGGCAACCCACGTAAATAAAGTAGAAAAGTAATTAAGTTTTCATTTGTGTTTCATTAAAAAGAGTGATTGAAGTTCTATACGAAGAAGTAAGTTTGGAAGAGTGGTTCTAGCGAAGGCTTTGCAATGTGCAACTTGAATTATGTGTTAAATCAATGTTTGGATGTCTGGAAATATGTTTATGTATTGTTTTGGAACTAACAGCCTAGGAGAGCAAAGGAAAAGAAAAGCTTCAAAAGAAACATATTAAAAAACGGCGTTCCAAACGACCGTGAGAGGTCGTATGGGCGGTCGCATAACCTGCTTGAGGTTCCAAGGCAAAACACCCAGAGGCAACAGGAGAAAAGACAGCGTTCCAAACGAGCGTGTGCGCTCGTTCGAGCGGTTGTTTGACACTTTCAATCAGAAGAAGAAAATAAGAGCACAGAAGACGGCGTTTCGAACGGACGCCGCCCCCTGTATGAGCGATCGCATGTGATGAGCACTGACGCATGTAAGTCTTCATGATGTACAATGGCGTTCCATGCGGGCGCTTGCGCCCGCATGAGCGTCATTTGGTATCCTGGCTGCCCAACTAACCCCGAGGAAGAAGGTAAATTTCTCCCATCTCTCTCTTTCCTTCTTCTATTTCCACCAAACCTCTCCAAACCCTAGCAAAACTTCGCCCGATCTCTCTACTCGCTCGATTTCAGTTCAAATCCTTCCGTGTGATCAATCTACGGTATGTTTCTCCTCCGATCCCAAAATTATATTTCGCGAATCAATGTTCTACATGCCTAGCATTTCCATGACTAGGAGATGCATATTTTTTATTCTAATTTGAGTTTGACTTGGATTCGTTGATGTTTTTAGAGGATCATGACGTTATGATTGTCATAGGATCAATATTGTTTAAATATGTTGGCCCAAAAATTGTTTTATAAATGTTTACACGGAGGCCTTCTCGTGTACGCGGTGCTTCACCGACCGTGAAGCGAAAAGGAAGTATAGGCCACTAAGCTCAAGGAAGATCAACACAACGAAGTGTGCTTGTGCGATAAAACATATTATGGAGGCTGAGGTTTGACGATTCAGTGTTTGCACACAGGCCCGTCAGCCTCCAAAAAGTTATGGAGGGTGCTTCATATGGTGGATGGCAACTCCCATTTTGACGACTCTACGAGAGTTGTCCTTGTATATCTTCTCAAAGAGTTGGCAGCCGTTGTAGGATCTTTGAACTCACGGGGCTTATCTTCTCAGATCTGGTACTATTGGAACTTACACTTTGTACATCCATATTGTGAGCTGAACTTTCACTGAAATAAGAGATAAGTGAGTAGATCAAGTTAGTGCTAAATGATAATTTCACACAAAAACAACGAAACAAAAATACGAGAGAAATATCTTACACTAGGTCACCAAAGTTTTGCTTTGGTGGCATGTCCAGTTCATCTAATCTTCTCTCGAACATTTCTAGAACTCTTGTTATAGTGGGGCGATACATAGGTAGTACTTGTATGCACCACATGCCAATTATGGTCACCTTTCTGGCTATCTCTGCAGTTTCACTTGTTACATCACATGCCTGTAAAGCTTCATCTTCAGCAAAGTGGTCATAAATCCAATCTGGGAAATACTTCTCGCTGGAATTTTGAACAATTGATTTTACATTTCTCCTGCCTCCAACCATCTCCAACAGCATCATTCCATAACTATAAACATCTGACTTTGTCGAAACCACTCCAAAGGTTCGAGAGTGAACTTCTGGAGCGATGAATCCAATTGTTCCTCTAGCCCCAGTAATTGAAACTTTACTCTCTTTCGTATGACACAATTTAGCTAGACCAAAATCAGCAATTTTGGGGCTAAAATCCCTGTCTAGAAGGATATTTTGAGGCTTGATATCGAAATGGACGATGCGTGTATTACAACTATGGTGCAAGTATTCGAGGCCACGAGCAATCCCAATTGCTATAGCATAAAGCTTCTCCCATCCTAAAATTTCTTTGGGATTCTCTGAGTAAATGTACTTATCCAAGGAACCATTGGACATGTACTCATATATAAGAGCTCGTTTTGACCCCTCCAAACAAAACCCAAATAAGCTAACAACATTAACATGAGAGGTTCTACCAATGCTCATAACCTCATTCACAAACTCGCTTCCGTTTCCTTTGCAGTCATGCAAGAATTTCACGGCAACAGGACGGCCATCATGTAGTCTTCCTTTGAAAACCACACCATAACCACCTTTTCCAAGCTCATAGTTGCGAGAAGATGTTACCTTCATTATCTCTGAGTAGATGTATCTTTTTGGAGCTAGGGATCCATACGATGCTATCATGGCCTCGTAATTATTTTCATTGTTGCTGCTAGTCTTCTTGCAAAGGAGAAGCCATAGTCTTTGCCCCTTTCTATGCCTTATTAGCACATAAATACAGGGAAAGAGCAAGGTTGCAGCTGCTGATGCCAATGCTGAGATGAAAGCATATGTTACTCCATTTGGTAAAAAAGAGGCTATAGTACAGTAATTATGATTTCGAAGACCATCGACAGTTTAAATTTATTTTTGTGCAAGAGTGCATGGCGGCAAAAGTATCAACAAGCTAAATTATATAAATTGATTAGTCTAGTATTATGTGAAACTGAGAGTTGCTCGTTTCAAATTTTAATTCTAGAATAAAATTTTAATGATTATAGACATGATAAATTTTAAAGTTGCTATTTTGCCATAGAAGAAAAACTATTAGTGGACTACTGATATTTAAAATCATTACATATGGAAAGATGGCAAAAGTTTTAGCATACCGATTAGCATAATCTTCTTGAAGGTCCTCTTGCTACCTGGAATATAACATGACATTATGAGTAAAAACAATGTCGCCCAATACTACCACATTAGTTGTTTTTCCAAAAGAAAGAGATATGTGTTGTATATGAATCTTCAATATTTTGCCAATGAAATGTACCGAAGAAATAAGTACATTGCAGGATATTGAAAAACAATGGAACATGGACTACATGTGTGACTTTCTCTTGATTGAATACAGGTTTAAAAAAGACATGTGTCACATCTCTGACTTCTCTTTTTTGAGGAATCCATATCTTACTAGTCAATTTAATGTATTCCAAGTCTTCAACTATACTCCAGCTTATCTGAAGCTGGGGACTCAGACACCAGCGGCAGGTGATATCTCCTGTTGTCTTTGACGGGCTGTATGAGAGTGCAAAAATACAGGGCGCAACTTGTGCGGGTCCGACTTTTTATCTTTTTAATATTTTTATTTTTCCATTTCTAAGAAAAAATCTGCAACTCCACGTGACGCGTTTCATGTGCAATCGCAAGCGCAGCAGCACGTTTGCCCAACTGAAGCGTGTCTAACCGGCTGCACAGTGGGCATCCACATGCAACTGTATATGACACATCCAACTGGTGCCGCGACTCCTCGGCGGACGTCTTTCTTCTTTGCAGTTTTGTGTCCCACGTCAATGACCAAGTTGGTCGGTGGTCTCCATGTCATGTGGGTTGGGTAGTATCGATTTTAGTTTAGTTTTTCAACAATTAATCGAACAGTTCTCTTCTCCTTAATCAATAAAAATGCAAATCTTTTGTTTCAGTTTCAAAATAATAATAATGCCAATAATCTAACTTCTGTTTTAAAAACAAGCCTCTGCTACTACTTCCACGGGCGTCGCCCCGCGCAACTGCACGTGATATACCTCACGTGCAATTGCAAGTGCAGCAACACACGCGCAACTGGTGTGGGTCCAACTAGTTGCAAGTGCACTTGACACACATCATGTGCAATAACACGTGCACAACTGTTACGAGCCCAACTAGCTGCACATGACACACCCATGTGCAATTGCAAGTGCGGTAACACACGCTCAACTAGTGGTCATCCGCCTTCAACTACACATGACACATCCCATCCGTAATTTCAAGCACATAAGAGCATCTATCGCCAGGCGTCCCAAACCTGCCTCATACACCCGGACGAGCCGTCTGGTCATTGAGGGGTCATGATTTTTCGACCCAGACAGTCTTCTCAAACGCTCGGGCTACCCGGCACACCTCATATCGACCACAAATATGGGGCAGATATGGGGCGCGCGGGCGCTTCCGCCACGTAGGACTGTCGATGGGTCCCACGCGGACTCGCCCAAAAACCCGGCGGTCCGATGGACGTCCCCTCCGTCATCTTGGTGTGAACGCCGTATGGTGCCGCTCCAGCTCGCCGCCCGAGACGAAATCTGGCTATTTAAACCGGCTGGCGTACCCCAACCCTAGCCCATCCACCTCCTCCCTCTCTGTGCCGCCACCCGAACCCGTCCGCCTCCTCTCCACCGCTCTTCGGCATAGCCATGGTCCGGCGACTGATCACCATGTACGATATGCTGACGCCGAGTGCCGGAGGTAGATCACGGAGGAGTTCCACGCAAGGCGCACCGCCCACATCGCTGCCGAGCTGCCTTCGGACTCACCGGAGCTAGAGGAGGAAGAGGAGTGTTGGGGGCAGACCAACCCTCCTCGGCAACGAACGCCAAGATTCCTCCCGGCGACACAAACGTTAGCCAGAGGTAGACGAAGGAGACACCATGACTTTTCCCCGCGACGAACGCCATGGTGCACCAACGCCTGTATCTTGGCTTTATTTCTCAGAAAGACTCGAACACATACATGGAGGTGCACACGCACACACGCAACACAAACTAGAAGAACTCTCATGTCGACCGGACGCATACCACGGTCCCGACGGAGACTACATCTTCCTTAAGCTCCTCTCACTTGGCTCGGCTCACACCGTTGCCACACCCACACGAGATGGCAGGAGCAGGCGGCGTCTGACGCGACGCGGAGATAGAGGCAGAGGAGGCTGGAGCGGAGCAGCCGCGGGCTCGGGAGCTGCAGCTGCCGGAGCCGGGCATGAAGATCGTCGACATCTCCGATGAGGAGTAGCTAGATCTCTACGTAGTACGTAGGTTATTCAGTTTTTATGCTTTTGTATGGATTTGAAAATCTAGTATGAGATATTCAGATGTAGTTGTGTTAATTTGAGAAGTGTCAGGTCATTGCCCGCGAACGCATTCCCGTGCAGCCTGATGTGGAGGATGAGGTGGATATTTGCTATTGACTATGAATCAGATCTGAGACGAGGGAATGCAATGGTTGGCTCTTGGCAAATCGGACGGTGCGCGTGCGAGGGGCCAAATTGGGCCGGTCGACCGGTGCCTAGGGGCTTTGCTTACATCCACGTAAATATCTCTATCTCTACTATTTAAAAAAAATGTAAGATTCTCATTTCACCTTTCTTTCCACCACCCCTTCGTTCAACCTTCTTTGTACGATAATAAATCAACTTAATTTACTTACCTTCTAAATCAGTTTCACTTTAAATTACTTACCAAACTTCGGATCAAAACATAAGGTAATTTATGGGTAGAATTTAATATTATTTAGTTACACAAACGCATTTTTATAGGCAGATAATTCACAAACCAATGTATTAGAAGATTTATATCCCGTTGCAACGCACGTGCACTGTTCTAGTTCTAGGTAAACTTACGTAAGAGCTGGCTTGTCAATAATTGATTGGAAGAAAGAATTGCCTGCCCCACCCACCTGAAAATCTGGGGGGCAGAGAGTATTAGATTTGGAAGTTTGTGTAGAGTAAGTAGGGAGGCTACGTAGGTCTAGGATTATTGGGCGCCTAGATGTAGCATTGCTGGTACTCTTGTTGGGTGTTGGTCCTTGGTACTCAAAACTGACCTCTGGTAGTGTCCGGCACAGCTGTGGGCGCCGGCGCCGGTGCGGCTGCTGCCTTGGTTGGCAACATGACCATGGCGCTACCCTTGTAGAAGGGGTACAATTCGAACTTCAAACTGCAGAGCAGGCCATCGAAGTTGACGAGCAGCTCCCTTTTCCCGTGCGGGGTCGACCTCCTGTCGAGGATGCTTTGTAGGCAGTTTCGGCACCGCGGCGGCGACATGTCGGCCGCGCACTGCGCCGCCGAGTAGATATTGCGGAACCCTGGTTCAGGCCCTAGCCGCCCTGTCACGAACAGCCTCGAGTTGTCCACCGCATACTGCACCGTCGCGGCGAGAAGGCTGGTGACCGCCTGGTCGTATCCGCCGTCGTCGTTGCTGGTTATGACCATACCGTCGCCGAGACGTACCTCGCCGGAGTTGCGGAAGTCGTGGTTGGTTAGGCGGACGTAGCACTGGTCGTACCAGAGGGACACGTCCCTGCTGTTGTTGCAGGCTGTTCCCGCCACCCGACCGGCGGAGGTGACGCAGTCGTAGCAGTCGGACGCGCTGACGTCGCCGCGGCAGAGAACAAGGGCCCAGGCAGTGTCCGGCGCGGCGCCAAGGGCGCCCGAGGCGAATAGGGACGGCGAGGAGGAGGCGTTCTGCCGGAGGGTGGTGAGGAGGTTTAGCAGGTTGGTCTCGTATGTGCTGCCAGCCGAGTAGTTGGTTTGGCCTCTGCCGCTGCCGCAGAACGGCCATGGCTGTGCTGCGGCGAGCGGAATCAGCGCGAGGAGGAGGAGGAGGAGGAGGAGAGCTTGAATCGTCGAGGCGCTCCATGGCATATGCATATGCATGACTAAACAGATGGATCCCTAGCTGTGAATGTGATGCTCCTCCATAAGAAGAAGTGCACCCTAGCTAGCTCTTTCTGCTGGTTTATTAAACTTTTTTGTTTGTTTGTTTTCTGTTATGTTGTTACAGCATGCAACCGGCCGGCCGTCGACCTTGACAAACCATTACGAGGTAGGCCGTTTTTTTCGATCAAATACTAGGTACCTACCTCATCTAGCCAGGAGTATCTTTCAACAACGACGTCGCACCTTATATATATAATTCAAAAATATATGTATAGTTTCTGTAGTTGGTTGCCGTCAACTCTTGCCGTTCCATCCACTTGGCACATGCCCAAGCCGTCTTCTCTTAGGTCCTAGCCGACCGATGTTCTTTACAAAATCCTTGCCACTATCGAGTAGTATATATCTTGGACTATGGCCCTGTTTGGTTCATAAGTCTTAGGATTTTTTTTAGTCCCAACTTATAAATCTCAAGTCCCTAAAAAGTCCCTACATGTTTGGTTCCTGGGACTTATAAGTCCCTATAAGATCATATTACAACTATAAGTCCCTATAAGTCCCTCCTTGAGAGTCTTATTTCATAAGTCCCAAATGCCCACTTTAAGTCTCTATAAGTCCCTCCTGTTTGGTTTAGATGGGACTTATAGGGACTTTTTAAAGTCCCTAAGCCAATAAGTCTATGAAAACAAACACCCTCTATGTATCGTCCTACTTAATTATAAGGGTTTGAGTTTCTTTATTATTGCGGGAGTTTTATTTCATTTAGATAGGTTTCTTTATCGCTACGACGGTATAATTAATGCTAGTTGGTCTGCTATCCTATTTTACTTCTTGCCGTCTCAACTACACAACCAGCTATGTGCATGTAGCAACAATGAAATTGCACCTTAAAAATCTCCGGCCTCCTCTCCTCTCCAATTGATGTCCTCCAACGTTTCAGACACCTAAACCATTGTCTCTCTCATGGGCCATGTTGCTTCAGTCTGTCTACCACCAAGCAAAGTTTTAAATAGCTCTGCTATAACTAATTTAGAGGGCCGCTACTATTTGACATAGGGCCGAAATCACTATTTGACCCTTTTAGAAAACTTTGTCACAAAGTGAACTCGATATGAAAGTATTTCACGATCTAACCCTTTTAGAAACGCCACAGCCCGCGGCGTTTCTGCCCAACATAGCAACGCCGAGGTAGCTAGCGCTTCTATCCAACAAAGAAACGCCGAGGTAGCTCGCGTTTCGGACCAGGTGAGAAACGCCATAG